CAGAGGACCAATCTATGTTAGCGTTATGCCGAACAAGCCAGGGATGACCCAAAATGACCGGGTGTCGAGGAAAATCAGACAGGAAAAACGTAATCATTTCAGAATGGTTATCAGCGAAAGTCACTTTAACAGGTGGGGTTCGACTAGACACAGAGCACAACGGATGTCCATTCAAGGCGACAGCCTGCAGGGGCCTTTCAAGAGGCAAAAACTCTTAAGTTCAATTGTCTTGCAAATTGAACATCCATCAAGTTAACATCTGCACCAGAGTCAATGAGCACCACCAGCTCAACAGTCTTTTCAGGAGTGGAGAGCTGGACAGTGGGGCTTGCACGTTGGATGTCATTAGAAAAGGAGGTGCAACTCACCAACGAAAACCTCCTTAGAGGTCCCTTCTTGTTTACTGGACAGTCGCTGGCTTGGTGACCCGGCTGGCCACAATACAGGCAGAGACCCTCCCGAAAGCGGCGTTGACGTTCCTCAGGTGGAAGGTGGGCTCTTCCAATCACCATGGGCTCCTCTGATGAAGCTGGTGAAGCTGAGGACATGTTGAGAGAAGAGTCAGGGGCTGACGCACGCCAACTGGAGCCACCATTAGCAGCGCCCCGCCTCCACCGGTCCGGAGGAGAAGGGAAGTCGAAACCTCTCTCGTTGTCGGTCTGTGAGCCTCTTGTCAATCTTGATCGCCAGAGCGATGAAAGAGTCCAAATCCTCCGGCAGATCCAGAGGGGCTAACAGATCCTTGAGTTCACTGGAAAGACTTCTCAAAAAGGCTTCAAAAATCGCTGATTGATTCCAGTCACATGCAGCAGCCAAAGTATGAAATTCAATAGCATAATCAGTGACACGTCTCCTCTTCTGCTGCAGCTGACATAGAGCTCTGGCAGCCTCCCTCCCAGGCCTGGTGTGCTGAAAAATTTGAGTGAAACGCTTAGTAAAAAGATCAAGTGACTTACAAATGTCCGCGTCGCGCTCCCACTCGCTCGTGGCCCAAGCCTCGGCCCTGCCCGAAAGGTGGGAGATGAGAAAAGCAATCTTGGCTCTCTCCGTGGGGAAAGAGAAGGGCTGCAGTTCAAAGTGGAGGCTACACTGTGTCAAAAATGCTTGACAATCACCAGAGTCCCCAGAAAACCTCTCAGGACGAGCAAGATGAACAGATAGGCCAGGGGATGCAGAGAATGTTCCAGGAGTCACCTCCACCTCGTTACTCTGGGGCTGCGGCATGTGGTTCTTCTCTGGAGGCTGGGTTGAAGAGGTCTGGAGCTGCTGCACCTTCTCCACCAGGTAACTGAGTTGATCACTGACAGAGGTAGCAAACTGATCATGTCGAGCATTGAGTTGCCCCATCTCCTGATGCAGTAGGCTCATCTGTTGTTCCCGTTGGAGGAGCCTCTTCCCCTGAGCCCCCAGGGCCCCCAAAACTGAGTCAGAGCTTGCTGAGTCCATTATTGGCCAGTTTGTACTATCAAAGCACAAAGAGGACTCAAATGCAGAGCTCACACAGTTTTAATCAGCAGAAGGGATTCCTGGCAGTACAGCACAACTGAACAAGTCCAAAACTAACTAAATACACTCTCACAAAGTGTTACTGAGAGCAGGTTCACAGTACTCAACTGAAGAAGACAAACTGGCAAAGGAAACTGTTGCAAAGACGCTTAAATGGAGAAGCCAGGACCCAGGTGCAAGACATGAGGCAGATTAGTGAGGAGCCTCATGTCGTGAAGCTGCCTGTAATGAGACAGGAAGTGAATGCACAAAATAAAACAGGAAGTACCAAAAATACAATAAAACCAGAAACAAGACTGCAAAGCACTCAACCTGCAGAATCACCCATGACAAACTGTGAGACAGAATGTGGAAAAAAAATCCACAAATTCACATGGCAGGATTTTTAAAGAATTTATTTGTAAATCAGGGTGGAAAATAAGTATTTGGTCAATAACAAAAATTCAACTCAATACTTTGTAACATAACCTTTGTTGGCAATAACAGAGGTCAAACGATTATTAAAGGTCTTTACCAGGTTTGCACACACAGTAGCTGTTATTTTGGCCCATTCCTCCATGCAGATCTTCTCGAGAGCAGTGATGATTTGGGGCTGTCGCCGAGCAACACGGACTTTCAACTCCCTCCACAGATTTTCTATGGGGTTGAGGTTTGGAGACTGGCTAGGCCACTCCAGGACTTTCAAATGCTTCTTACGGAGCCACTCCTTTGTTGCCCGGGCAGTGTGTTTGGGATCATTGTCGTGTTGGAAGACCCAGCCACGTTTCATCTTCAAAGCTCTCACTGATGGAAGGAGGTTTTGGCTCAGAATCTCACGAAACATGGCCCCATTCATTCTTTCCTTAACACGGATCAGTCGTCCTGTCCCCTTAGCAGAAAAACAGCCCCAAAGCATGATGTTTCCACCCCATGCTTCACAGTAGGTATGGTGTTCTTGGGATGCAACTCAGTATTCTTCCTCCTCCAAACACGACAAGTTGAGTTTATACCAAAAGTTCTACTTTGGTTTCATCTGACCACATGACATTCTCCCAATCTTCTGCTGTATCATCCATGTGCTCTCTGGCAAACTTCAGACGGGCCTGGACATGCACTGGCTTCAGCAGCGGAACACGTCTGGCACTGCAGGATTTGATTCCCTGCCGTTGTAGTGTGTTACTGATGGTGACCTTTGTTACTGTGGTCCCAGCTCTCTGCAGGTCATTCACCAGGTCCCCCGTGTGGTTCTGGGATTCTTGCTCACCGTTCTCATGATCATTTTGACCCCACGGGATGAGATCTTGCGTGGAGCCCCAGGTCGAGGGAGATTATCAGTGGTCTTGTATGTCTTCCATTTTCTGATGATTGCTCCCACAGTTGATTTTTTCACACCAAGCTGCTTGCCTATTGTAGATTCACTCTTCCCAGTCTGGTGCAGGTCTACAATTCTTTTCCTGGTGTCCTTCGAAAGTTCTTTGGTCTTGGCCATAGTGGAGTTTGGAGTCTGACTGTTTGAGGCTGTGGACAGGTGTCTTTTATACAGATAATGAGTTCAAACAGGTGCCATTAATACAGGTAACGAGTGGAGGACAGAAAAGCTTCTTAAAGAAGACGTTACAGGTCTGTGAGAGCCAGAGATTTTCCTTGTTTGAAGTGACCAAATACTTATTTTCCACCCTGATTTACAAATAAATTCTTTAAAAATCCTGCCATGTGAATTCATGGATTTTTTTTTTCACATTCTGTCTCACAGTTGAAGTGTACCTATGATGTAAATTACTGACCTCTGTCATCATTTTAAGTGGGAGTACTTGCACAATCGGTGGCTGACTAAATACTTTTTTGCCCCACTGTAGATGTACTGTTTTTATGAAGCAAAGAGCAAGTTGCCAAAAAAGGCGGAGCACGCTGAAACGAAAACAGGGTTCACCTGACGGTCTGTATGGCTGTGTTTTTCTGTGATTTAGGTGTTTAGGCCAAAGATTCACCTTTTGGGTTATTTTTGGCCAAATTTTCAGTGCATCCCAATTTTTTTTCATAATCTTTATTTTACCTCCACATTAAGCTTTTTAGGGTAGATTTGCCATTGTGACTTTAACTGAACAAGTTGTCTCCTGTTGCTGTAACAGCAGGTAATATGTGAGAGTTGCTGTTTTCATTAAAAGAGGGCTTTTCTTTGCTAGCTGTAACATTGGCTGCCAATCTAAAAAAATCTTGAATTCACCAAATTTAGTAATTTGTAAATAAACTGGGAAATGTCATTTCAATCCCAGCATTTTAAGTGGTGTAGCACAGCCTAAAAGACCAACTTCAACAATGAATAATACAACAAATAAGGCCCAATTTTAAGTATGCGTTATCGTAAATACACAACTTGCCACTAGGATGTTGTACCTGTTTATAATCCTGTTACGTTTTATCAGGCTTTTAAGTTAAGTCAAATCCCATTAGTCATCATCACACACTGGTGAAATTACATCTCATTTGACCCATCCCCATAGGTTGTGGTGAGCTGAGGCTACGCTCGGGAACTATTTGTTAGTGAGTGTCAAGCAGGGAGGCATTGGGTCCCATTTTTAAGGTGAACTTTGATCTCCCAGTTCCTGGGCGGACACTATACCGCTAGGCAACTGAGAAGGTAAATCCATAAAATTAGGTCCTTCTACATCACTCTAATGTTTATATTAATTCCAAACATTTATGATGCCAGTTTCGTCAAAAACACACTGGGTTGTCGGGTTGTTGATCCTCACCCATCTTGTTTTTCACTGACTCCTGGAGCCTAGAGTGTGAGCTGTAAAGCAACAGTGTGACACAAGAGTCCCTGATGATAACTCCGGTGGAGAAAGATGTAAACAAGTCAGTACAACTGAGAATAAAATACTCCCTAATGTTTTAATTTGATTAGTGTGTATAATAAACAGAATGTTGCAATCAGGGAACGATGCTTTATGCATTTGATGTTGGTTACAAGGCAAAGTGAAGGGTAGGGAGAGAAAATTCAGTTTTAGTATGCAACAGAAATGAAAACCAGTTGTTGGTGTAGTTTTCCAGCCATTTCAGTTTCCTTTTTCTCCATTTATACAATTGAACAAGACATCATGCACAAGTAGATGTACAAACTCACAATATTAGTTAGAATAATGTTCAGTGTTTTTTCAAATGCATGTTTCATAGACTATAGGCATATAAAAACTGGCTGTTGGTTGAGAAAGCAGAGACTCCTGAGCTAAAGGGTGTGGCATGTAAGAAGATCCTCAGAGACGGACTGACGTCAGTGGAACACCTCCACGAGCAGACACATCTCGGGAAGCACAGTTGTCATTACAGCATCATTCACATAGCAATAGGGGCGAAGTACACATTTGTTTTTTTAATTAATGCTTTACATTTTCAAGGCTTTATATCCACTTCCTGGCTTGACTGGGGTCTATTTTCTTCAGTATGAGTGACAAGAGGGCAGACCTCTGATTCTAAGTTTGTGTGTTTGTCTCTTTCTCTCCGTCTGTGTGCAGTCAGCAATAGGAAGGCTCCTCCTCCAGTCCCACCCCGCATGACCTCCAAGCCCCTCATCTCTGTGACGTTGCAGAGCAGCACTGAATCAGCCCAAGATACGTACCTTGACCAGCAGGACCGAGGCAGCGAAGCCAACAGCCAATCAGGGTGCAGCAACTCCTCTGACAGTCTCTGTAGCATCCGCACGAGCAGCCTGGCCAAGGGGAGCCAGGCTCCAAAAGCCCCTGTTCCTGTCTCTACTGTTGCACCTGCTGCAGCCTCAGTGCCCCCTGTTCCAGCTCCTCGTGACCTCCCTACTATCACCACTGTTGCCGTATCCACCAACTCCACCTCTACTCATTCCCAAAATGACTTTGTGACTGGATTCACTCTTGAACAGCCCCCAACTGCATCCAAGAGGAAGCTGTCCTCTATTGGCATCCAGGTTTATCATTTGTTTTAATATATTTTTCATGCAGGCTGAACATGAAAAGTCTCCTATACCTATCTCCTGCATTAGCTTCTGATAGAAAATAGATGGTGAAATTCTAGGATTTAAAAAGCCTGAAAGATCTATGTCACACTGTCACTTAGCATTCATGGACTCACCCATCTTGACTCACGACAGGGAAGGCTGTTGGTTTAGCATCCAGGAAACAGAGAACTTCCCAACCAGTATAAGCTAACCTTTAGCATTAGTGACTTTTTCACACAGCAAAACTTCTCCAAATTTGTTATTTTTGGAGATAAAACATCAACATTGAAGAGCAAACAGAGTCGGTGTTAGTCATGTTGCTGTTATCCAATACGAAGTTTCCAAATATCAGAAAATAAGACTCCAGATCCTACCATGTTAAGCTCTCCTCTGTGGCATTCTGCTAGTTTCTGAAACTAGCACATCTGAGTCACCACCCCACCCTGAGTACGACATGCAAGGCATTCGTTCCGACTAGAGACCACTGCAAATGTATAAACGAGTGTCCCACAACTTTAAAATGGCTTGTCTTCTTATAATAAAACAATAACTTTACTGCACTTTAAGGACTCATAGTATACTTTTTGTCGTTATGTTTTTGGATTAGAGTTGCAGCATATGATTTGTTTACCAGCATGTTGTACTCATCAGGTCTGAGCAGAGGACACAACAAACATTCATGCTGGGCTAAAACCACGTAATTACAAAGGTTCTGTCAATAAAACACTTTGGTCATTTTAACAAGCTTGAACATAAGTTAATGACAGGAAATACTCAAGCATGGACAGTTTCATGAGCGAACTGTGTCATTAACATAGAGTAGTGTTTCAACACTTGTGACATGGTCCACTCCTGAACACAAGGCAATGGATTGGCACACGAGAAAAAGCCGTATAGGAAATGTAATTTTGGACAAACATAACTAAAGTGTTTACTTTTGCTTGCCACTCTGGCAATGACAGGCATACCTTTTCAAGCCGAGTTGTGCTGCTGTTTTACTGCTCAGCCCTAAAAGAGAGAGGAGTCAGGTCTTCTGTGCAGCTGCTGTTGACTGACCCTGTTATGTTATTGGCTTCTTAGGTGGATTGTGTTCTTCCAGTCCCAAGAGAAGAGCCACTACTACTGTCTACACCTCTAAAGTTTCAGTCCATTGGAGTTCAGGTTGAAAACGGCAGACCGTAAGTACTTCTACATGTGTACGATAAACACTGATTTTCAACCAAGCATTTTTACAGGTTTTTTGAAGAGTAACTGAATAATGTGCTCTATGACCATTAGGAATGTAAGAAAATATTTATATGACAATATATCATGTTGTTTTCTGTGATATTACATCAATATTCAAAAGCAGTGTATCTAATTTTTGGAATAATTTAAATGCAAACATTTGTTCTTTTCTTTTGGTGCAATTTAAACACTGACCACTAGGTGGCATCAGTGAGCAACATGTTTTGTTTCCACCATGAGAGCTGAACAAAGCGCCTTACAGACAGGTACAATAACAATGACATTATCAGTAAAGAAGATAAATTAAACAATAAGTCAGAAACACAAAATCAATAAACAATTCAATAAATAAAGTAAAATAAACTATAAGAATAATAAGACCAATAAAATGTGTACTCCAACAATCATAACAGCCCTAACAGTAAAAATTGCAGCATAAGACAATAAAACTGTCTTAAAGTAATGTTATACATGCCAAGTATCAGTTTGAACTGTTTATTGAATATTCCTACAATAAATTCAGTCAAAAAAATGCTAATGTCTGACTGAATGAATCGCAATATGTCGTGATACACTGTATCGCCAGAATTTCACCAATGCATCGGTAGCTCGTTTCCAAGTCTGCCTCGTTAAACAAAATGCAATTGATGACTTAATGGCAGTGAGCGGTTGAATTTGGAATGATGACTTTATTCACCATTGGCAGTGAATGATTTAATTCAGGTTTGCTTTCTGAAAGGGACTGCAGAATCCACATCAAAAGCCTTTGAGAAATACGTCCAAATCAAATGGTTTAATTGTGAACTTTCATTGTTTGGAGGCTAAAAACATGCAGTGATGTGCAGCTTACAGACATAAACATGTAAACTAATCATTTAGATTCTGGTTTTGGGCTTTAGAACCAAGTGGAGTCCATTCAAAAACTAGACTCTTAATTGGTTTTGCTTCACCCCGTTTACTGAGCATTTGTTACAGTGAGAGGCTAATCCCTTCTTTCCACCCGATGCAAAAGTGGTGTGTAATGTAATCGAGGTGTTTTACCTGCGAGCTCCCATTCAACCGGGAGTGTTTGAGACACAAAACGGTAGTGAGAGCGATTCACGCCGCTGGTACTGCAAGGGGAAAATTACAGGAGAATAACACTACGCGTGATTTCAGAAATTTACACAATAACAAGGAGCAAGACTGCAGTATGTATCTAAAAAGGTCTGCGGTTTATTTTCTGTTTACCTTGGCAAAAGAAGTTTCACAGGAAATGACATCTTTTACTAGTAAGGCAACTGGAAGTCTGCGTGCGACTTTTATTTTGAGTTATTGGATGTTTTACACAGCTTCCGTGTTTGACTTCCTGTCAAGCCCAATTGGAACTGCGGAGGTTAAGGTGTTTTGGAAGTGTAGAGTGTAAGAAATAGACCTGCAATGTAATTATCATGTTCCTTTGCTTTTGGGACGCATTCCAAAACATTACACCTTGCGGCCACTGGAAATGAACCCATCCACTGTGACGGCGGCTAGTTGCAAAGTGCATTTCATGTCTTGTAGAAAGTAGGGGCAAGGTCAGTGAACAGCGATGGTTAATCCACTCTTAATGTTCACACAAAAGGAAAATGATGATGAAAAGAGGAAAAAATAAAATGATATCCACCATCTCACAACTTATAAGATCAAATGTTTCAGAGGCACCAGTAGAACTACTTAAGCCTGTTATACAAATACAAACTCTCCTTTGAGGCAACACAACGCAACGATACCATGATTAGATTTAAAACCAAACTGGTTATCATAAGTTGAGACAAAATGTTCCATCATCAAAATAGTCCTTTTAAAGACCTTGAATAAAATAGTAGATAGGGCGGTAGGACAATATTTATTTGTATTTTTCCAGTTTTGTCCTTTTCTGATGGGTTCTAACTTTACCAAACTGTGATTAAAAATGTGTTTATGTTCAAGTGGTGGACCCATTTAACACCTTGACTTTAGAATACCTTCTGGCCTCAGCATGGAGCTTTTCAGCCTTTACATCCCAACCTGGTTTAGCTTTATATAACTTATTCTTGCACAACAAGATTCAAGTAGGAACTGTACAATATCCTTATATAAGAACACAATTCCGTCCCATCAAAATAATTTTTACAGTTGACATAACATGCAGATGCATCTTTTGGTAGATCAATCTTGCCTAAACCAATCATCCACAGACCAATCTTTTTTAAATATGTAATTTGTCACTAAAAACACAATGTGTAGATTTCCCAAATTTACAAAAAAAAAAGGATAGAGGCAAATGATCAGGAAGCTCAAGCTCAAAATTAATGTTCAGACTAGGGCTGGGCGATATGGCAAAAATAGAATATCACGATTTTTCCAATATTTTATCACGATTTCGATTTTATCACGATTTTTTATCCATGAATAGCATAACTTCAATTGCGTATTAAAGAAGAGAAACACTGAATAAACAAACATTTATTCATATTAGGGATAATCAGCACAGTGCTAACACACATATTTTAAACTCACACCAGAGATGATAAAAGCCCTGAGAGAAACAATTACAAAAATCAGTTTTTCTTGTTTTTCAAGTAACTTAACATAAATTAAAATCGTAAACATATTTAAAGTGCAAACATGTCAATTGCAAACGTATTGTGCAAACTTGTTCAAAATACTATGTAGCTCCCAGTTGCTCATGTAGTGGATAGTTAAGGCTCTGATGTGCGGCTGGACCAGAGATCGCTTGTGGTAGCAAAAAACTGCGCATTCTGAATATTTTCTGCAACAAGTCTCTAAATAAAGTAAAATTTTCCAGTGCAGATTGGAGACAACCCATAGAAGCACTGATTTGATCTCATTTCAGAGAAAAATAGAACAGGTTAGATGCACATAATAAATAAAATTACTAACAAACTCAGGAATCTTTCTTTGCTTCACTGTTCTGGTGCTGAAAATATCACTAATGCGGATCCAAGGAGATACACAGATGAATGCACCTCTTATTATTTGGAAACTACATTTACTGCAGCTGGCAGAGGCAGAGATCGTTTCTATTGATACACGGAGTTTACAGAATCATTTTAAATTTTAATAAGGGAAGACTGCAGGAGGGAGCGGTAAAATACAGGGGGTCCCCAGCAAAAACAAGAAACTTAACGAGTCTGATGAAACCCGCTGGTTTTCCATCAGGCAGTCACGGGGCAGCTCCAACGACCCAGTGACCGAGCTCAGTCCGGTACCGACACCGGCTCGGCAGAGGGTGAACGAGCCGAGGCGACGTCGTGCTCTGCTTAAGAAGCGGTGTTATTTTCCTGCTTCAGAAGAAGCGCCCAAGGTGTTTTTACGCTTTCTCCAAGACATGTCACGTCACTAAGTTGTTAGCGCCACGCGCTAAGGAAACCCTGCGTTCCTCTTCGGAACGAAAACCTCGTTGTCGCTCAGCCGTGGCCGAAGCCGTTTGTTCACACACAAATGAAAACAAGCGGGGCACTAATATATTACTATGACTCACTCTGATTGGTTAAGGGTCAAACAAAGGCGTGTCATTCGCCTGAGGTAAGTTCCATTTTCATTCAGAGGCAGAAATTCAACAGCAGAGCTGTGAATCGTGATAAAACGGTCTCTCAAAAATGACAGACCGTCAGATGTGTAGATCGTAAAACGGTCTAAAATCGTCATATCGCCCAGCCCTAGTTCAGACTCTAAAGATCAGTTGTGAGCCTTAGCTGTGCAGCGACAATGATCTAATGATGTGTGCCGTGCCTTACTAATATAGATGTAACTATTATCATGTAAAAACACTTTACCAGAAAGAAGCAAACTATTATCAGAGCAACACTACAATGCTTTTAAACCGCTACCATCAGGTACACCTGCATTCATATCATCCCATTCGAAACACATGTAGAAGCATTGTCCTGAACCAGGGACATAGCCTCATTCTGAGGACTAAAGTTCTGTCATAGACCACTGGAGTGGTGGACTCACCAGCTCCAATACTAGGAGCAGAACAATGTTTAGAATAGATGTCCTTTTATTTTTATAACTTGAGTCTCATAAAGATATCATTATCAATATGTAGAGTGTAGTTGCTCTAATAAAATTTGTTTGGCTGTGTTCTTCCTTTGTCCCCACTCATTATCCTTGAAACCAGCAGTCAGTGTTCTGGAACTGATTAGTAGCTCTGTCTTGCCTCTCTTTGTTTTTACTAAACTAAATTATAACAGTTTCAACTATTCTGTCAGGTTAACTCACACACTTTACATTGTTGCCATGGGAATGTTTTTACCTATAATAATTAGCCTTTTTGGACATTTGTGTTTATGCATGTCCCTGCAGTCTTAGCCGTGACAGCAGCATGGCTTCCAGACAAAACACAGAGACTGATCCTCTGCTGCAGGATGTGACACCCACAGAGAACACAAGCAATTGCACCAACAGTCATATTATGAACACCACTGCAACCAACGGACAAGGCAAAGCCATTGAACAGCAGCTCCTCAAACACACCTCAGCGCCACCAAGGATATCCAGTTCACCCCCTGAGAAGCTGGACCCTGCTTTGGATCCCTCCTCCCTGCCACCTCCAGATCCCAGCCTAGAGTCTGGAAACTGCAGCTCGCAAGAAGATGCTGTTCACTCGAGCACACCAGCATGCCTTAGAGACGGCAACTGGTTTCTGAAGCTGCTGCAGGCGGAAACAGGCCGCATGGAGGGCTGGTGTCAGCAGATGGAGCAGGAGACCAAAGACAACAAGCTCTCAGAGGAAGGTAAATGATCATGTTAAGTCACTGTCAAACTATTTAGGTTCTGTTTACTTTGTCATGTGCATATTCATAAAAAACACCATCGTTTCTCTAAGATGATAATCCTGCCTTAATGACTGATGTGTTCTATGGTTTTAATATTTAGTGTTGACACATACACACATCCTCCTCCTTGAACCGTCACCTTATCGTGGTGGAGGAGTTTGAGTGCCCTAATGATCCTAGGAGCTATGTTGTCTGGGGCACTTAGTGCCCCTGGTAGGGTCTCCCATGACAAATTGGTCTTAGGTGAAGGGTGAGACAAAGAACGGTTCGAAGGATCTTTCATGGCGGTTAAAACGAAGAGTCGGAGTACCCGGCCCGGAGGGTTACCGGGGTCCCACCCTGGAGCCAGGCCTGGGGTTGGGGCCCGTGAGCGAGCGCCTGGTGGCCGGGCTTTCGCCCATGGGGCCCGGCCGGGCCCAGCCCGAACCGGATACATGGGCTCGTCCAACTGTGGACCCACCACCCGCAGGAGGAACATGAAGGGTCCGGTGCAATGCGAATCGGGTGGCAGACCAAGGCGGGAGCCTTGGCGGTCCAATCCCCGGACAAGAAAACTAGTTTTTGGGACATGGAACGTCACCTCGCTGGCGGGGAAGGAGCCGGAGCTTGTGGCAGAGGTTGAGCGGTACCGGCTAGACATAGTCGGACTCACCTCGACACATTGCATTGGCTCTGGAACCCGAGACCTGGAGAGGGGTTGGACACTCTACTTTGCTGGAGTTGCTCCGGGTGAGAGGCGGAGGGCTGGGGTTGGCTTTTTGTTAGCCCCGAGACTCTCTGCCTGTGTGTTGGGGTTTACCCCGGGGGACAAGAGGGTAGCTTCCTTGCGCCTTCGGGTCGGGGAACGGGTCCTGACTGTTGTTTGTGCTTATGGGCCAAATATCAGTTCAGAGTACCCACCCTTTTTGGAGTCCCTGGGACGAGTGCTAGATAGTGCTCCATCAGGGGACTCCATTGTCCTGCTGGGGGACTTCAATGCTCACGTGGGCAATGACAGCTTGACCTGGAGGGGTGTGATTGGGAGGAACGGCCCACCTGATCAGAACTCGAGCGGTGTTTCGTTATTGGACTTCTGTGCAAGCCGCAGTTTGGCCATAACGAACACCATGTTCGAACATAAGGATGCCCACCGGTACACTTGGTACCAGGGCAGCCTAGGTCACAGGTCGATGATAGATTTTGTAGTCGTATCATCTGACCTGCGGCCGTATGTTTTGGACACCTGAGTGAAGAGAGGGGCGGAGCTGTCAACTGATCACCACCTGGTGGTGAGTTGGATCAGATGGCAAGGGAACATGCCGCGTAGACCTGGCAGACCCAAACGCATAGTGAGGGTCTGCTGGGAACGCCTGGCAGAAGAACCTGTCAAGACGGTCTTCAACTCCCACCTCCGGCAGAGCTTTGACCACGTCCCGAGAGCAGTGGGGGACATTGAGTCCGAGTGGGCCTTGTTCCACTCTGCGATTGTCGAGGCGGCTGTTGCTAGCTGTGGTCGTAAGGTGGCCGGTGCCAGTCGTGGTGGCAACCCCCGTACCCGCTGGTGGACACCAGAGGTTCGGGGAGCCGTCAGGCTGAAGAAGGAGGCCTACAGGGCGTGGCTGGTCTGTGGGTCTCCGGAGGCAGCAGACAGGTACCGGATAGCCAAGCGGGGTGCAGCAGTGGCAGTTGCCGAGGCAAAATCTCGGGCGTGGGAGGAGTTTGGTGAGGCCATGGAGAAAGACTATCGATCGGCTCCAAAGAGGTTCTGGCAAACTGTCCGGCGCCTCAGGAGAGGAAGGCAGCAACTCGCTCACACTGTTTACAGTGGGGATGGGGAGCTGCTGACGTCAACTGAGGCTATAGTCGGACGGTGGAAGGAATACTTTGAGGAGCTCCTCAATCCCACCAATGCGCATTCCGAGGAGGAACCAGAGCTGGGAGGCCTGGGGATGGACTGTCCGATCTCGGGGGCAGAAGTTGCTGAGGTAGTCAAACAACTACACAGCGGCGGAGCCCCGGGGGCGGATGAGGTTCGTCCTGGGTATCTCAAGGCTATGGATGTTGTAGGGCTGTCATGGTTGACACGTCTCTACAACATTGCGTGGTCATCGGGGGCAGTTCCTAGGGAGTGGCAGACCGGGGTGGTGGTCCCCATCTTTAAGAAGGGTGACCTGAGGGTGTGTTCCAACTATAGGGGGATCACACTCCTCAGCCTCCCTGGAAAGGTCTACTCCAAGGTACTGGAGAGGAGGGTCCGATCGATAGTTGAATCTCAGATAGAGGAGGAGCAATGTGGTTTTCGTCCTGGCCGTGGAACTGTGGACCAGCTCTATACCCTTGCAAGGGTGATGGAGGGGGCATGGGAGTTTGCCCAACCAATCCACATGTGCTTTGTGGATTTGGAGAAGGCTTATGACCGTGTCCCCAGGGGCACCCTGTGGGGGACGCTCCAGGAGTATGGGGTGGGTGGCTTTCTGTTAAGGGCCATTCAGTCCCTTTACCAGAGGAGCGTGAGTTTGGTCCGCATAGCCGGTAGTAAGTCGGACCTGTTCCCAGTGAGGGTTGGACTCCGCCAGGGCTGCCCTTTGTCACCGGTTCTGTTCATCACTTTTATGGACAGAATTTCTAGATGCAGCCGTGGTGTGGAGTGTGTCGAGTTTGGTGGCAGGAGAATCTCGTCTCTGCTTTTTGCGGATGATGTGGTCCTCCTAGCTTCATCCAGCTCTGACCTTCAGCTCTTGCTGGGTAGGTTCGCGGCCGAATGTGAAGCGGCTGGGATGAGGATCAGCACCTCCAAATCTGAGACCATGGTTCTCGACCGGAAAAGGGTGGCTTGCCACCTCCGGGTCGGGGGAGAGGTCCTACCTCAAGTGGAGGAGTTTAAGTATCTCGGGGTCTTGTTCACGAGTGAGGGTAGGAGGGATCGGGAGATCGACAGGCGGATTGGTTCGGCGTCTGCAGTGATGCGGACGCTGAGCCGATCTGTCGTGGGGAAGAGGGAGCTGAGCCAGAAAGCCAGGCTCTCGATTTACCGGTCGATCTACGTCCCAATCCTCACCTATGGTCATGAGCTTTGGGTAATGACCGAAAGAACGAGATCGCGGATACAAGCGGCCGAAATGAGTTTCCTCCGTAGGGTGGCCGGGCTCAGCCTTAGAGATAGGGTGAGGAGCTCGGACATTCGGGAGGGACTCGGAGTAGAACCGCTGCTCCTCCGGATCGAAAGGAGCCAGTTGAGGTGGTTTGGGCATCTGGTCAGGATGCCTCCTGGACGCCTCCCCGGGGAGGTGTTTCGGGCATGTCCTGCCGGCAGAAGGCCCCCGGGTCGACCCAGGACACGTTGGAGAGGTTACATCTCCAATCTGGTCCGGGAACGCCTTGGGGTCCTGCCGGAGGAGCTGGTGGACAAGGCCGGGGAGAGGACGGCCTGGAGCTCCCTAGTTGGGATGCTGCCCCCGCGACCCGGACCCGGATAAGCGGAGGAAGACGAGAGACGAGACATACACACATCAGTGCTGTTTGTTTATTTACCCAACAGTTTAGGGATCAGACCAAAGGGCTGTTGAACAAAGCAAGCTAATCCCAAAAGCCAGGCTCACTCTGACAATCCCAGCTCAATTTCCCCAAATTAGGTTTTACCAACAAGGCTTACCTGACTCTGCTCATTCAGGATGGTGACATATGCTTGTGGACAGGGATGATGCATGGCATGCTAGCTGCAAGACTCCTTTAGGCTAGGAGAATAGAGTTTGGAAAGGTATATAATGTCAGCAAGCAAGCAACAAGATGGTGCACTGCCTTCACCACTGGCCAACAGCAGAACATGCTGTTGTCTTAATAATAATGGTAAAATAGCCTTAAAGTACCTCAACTGGTAACATAATACATATGTAAAAAGGAAATGCTGTATTGGTGCGACTATGAATTTTAACATCTTGTACTTCAGTCACAGAGCCCATGCTTCTTACTGGTTATTAATTTTTTATTCCTTGTACCACAGAACCTCGTGAAAACCAAAAAAAATAAAAAATAACCCAACGCTGCGTTCAATTTTAAGTTGTATCACAGCAGAAGAGTGAACAAAATACCTTTAAACAAAACAGGAAAATATTCAACCTTATGGCAAACATGGTAACATTTGTTTTTAATGATACAAGTGAATCCTTTCTTGGTGTGTAATGAGTGCTAAATGTGTACATCTGCATTAAAGACTTGGGGGTCATGTGACCATGCAACATTTTCTTAAAACTCTCAGCTACTCGGCAAAACAATGTCCTTGAGTCTCGAAACATGCAGACTTGAGGAACCAAACATGAAAATGACAAAAGTTGAAAACCTGATAAAATATGTGGAGAAACTAAGCAAATTTAGACTTCTGGCGTTGTCATGGAAACATGTCAATGCTGAATGTTCTAACTAAATAGTGCCAGCTATAAGGCTTTGATCAACAGCTGGAAGTATCCATCCATCCATCCACTCACTCACTCACCCACACTCACTCACTCACTCACTCACAGCAGCCTAAGTCGAGAGGCCCAAACTTCCCTCTCACCAGCCACTTGGGCCAGCTCTTCCAGGGAGGCATCCAGGGGGTATCCTAATTACATGCCTGAGCCACATCAACTGGCTCCTCTCAATGTGGAGGAGCAGCGGATCTACTCCAAGCGCCTCCCAGTTGATAGAGCTTTTCACCCTTTCTCTAAGGGAGAGGCCAGACACCCTATGGAGAAAACTCATTTCAGCTGCTTGTATCCATGATCTCGTCACTACCCAAAGCTCGAGACCATAGGTGAGGGTTGGAACATGGATCGACCGGTAAATCGAGAGCTTCGCCTTCTGGCTCAGCTCTCTTTTTACCATGACAGACCGGTTCAATGCCCACATCACTGCAGACGCAGCACCAATCCACCTATCAATCTCCAGAGAGGTCTCCATTTTATTTATGTCTTGGCGATCCTTGTAGGCATGAATTAATAATTCTAGCTCCATCTGGGAGGAGAAACGGCTCTTTATTTTCCTTCCATTCTCATTAATCTAGCATTGATTAACAGGGGCGACCTGTGGGCGCACGTGCGCCTCGCTCGTCACTCCTCGTTTGAATTAGTGAGGATTTAATCCACCTGAGCTCCGTTAATGAAACCAAATAAGTTTGGAGGGAACTGGTATGCTAATTCAAGCAATGCACTTTCAAACAAGCCTTGTTTTTCTGAACAGCCATAAACTGTACCTAACTGCGTTATTTTCATAAAATAGATGTTTACAAACGTCTGCAGCAGCTACGTTTTTTTTTCCTTTAATGAGATGAAGAACCAATTTGTTTAATTAGGTCAGAAGTTGGAACAACAGCTTATTAAGGCAGTTTCAGGACGGATGGATATGCCTGTGAGTTGCATCATCAGACAGGACGTGTTGGTGTTTGTGTTGGGTTAGGATGACTAAATAAAAAGGAGACACCCATTACTGAGACTGAGTTATATCAAACATTTGTTTCAGTGGTAATGGATCAGGCAGATCAGTCTCTACTGTTCTTTAAATATAGATGTGAAGAAAGATGACGGGAGAAGAAAGCTTTTCAAAAAACAATCTCCTGCGTTCTAATTTAATAAATTTCTGTGTACATGTGAACATTTATTAAAAATTAAGGTTTGAGCAAAAGAAGCGCTTGGAGAAAAGTAATTTACGGTCTTAAGGATTTTGGACGTGAATGTCTCAGACGATTAACAATCTCTTGTTTTTTTTTTTGTTTTTTGTTTTTTAGTTTTGGGTACAATCCGCAGTGCTGTAGGCAGCGCTCAGCTCCTCATTTCACAGAAGTTTGAGCAGTTCAGAGGACTTTGTAACGAGAATCTGGTGAGCAGCTTTATTCTCTAACTCCCTACTACAATTCAGACTGACTCCATAAACCTGTTTTCAACTCCAACATCATTTGTTCTACAGAAACAAAAGGCAGACGTGATGTTTATGCTTGCCATTGACAGTTTTGTTCATTTGCTGTTCAACCTCTTGGATTGTATCAAGTTTTCTGCCACGGATGTGTAACGTGAACGATTACTGTTGTGTATTTTGTCTCCATCCAGAAAGTTGAAAACATTGTGACAGGAGGCATGCAGAAAGGAGTTTGATTCATTTGCTTATTGATCAAAAGCTCCCTATGTTTGTTTATTCACTAGAATGTAAATGCTAACCCAAGACCAACAGCACAGGACCTTGCAGGGTTCTGGGATCTGCTGCAACTCTCTATAGAAGATATAAGCATGAAGTTTGATGAGCTCTACCAGCTGAAGGCACATAAATGGCAACTTCCTGAAAAAACGGAAAAAAAGGTGACGTGCTGGTAGATTTATTTGTCCCAGTGGAGTTATATGAAAGTCTTTTAAAGTTTCTGGTTGTTTAAACATTGTTTTATACATCTGTAACTCCAGAATCTTTCTGTTGATTGGATGAATGAAATGAAAATTAAATTACTCATAGATCAATCTATTAATCACTTCCTAATCATTTGCCATTCCAAGATTTAAACTGTTCAAGTATTGTTTAAGAGTACACCACCTGATCTAAGTGCCAAGCTGGTGGTGTTGACTTCTCTTTTTTGACTTGATTCCTTAGGATGAAAACAAGCAACTTCCATCTTTGCCAAAGAAACAGTTGAAATCCCGCCTGTTGACAGGGAAAGACAAGAGTGTGGACTCGGCTGTGGATAAGCAGCGACAAGAAGCCAGAAAACGGTTGATGGCAGCAAAGAAGGCAGCATCAGTACGACAAAACTCAGCCACGGAAAGTGCTGACAGTATCGAAATCTACGTTCCCGAGGCGCAGACCCGCCTCTGAGACTGCGTCAGCAGCAATCATCAAGCAAATCCTGACTTGCGCCATACATGAATTGACTCAAAACACAGTTCTAAGATGATCACACACACACTCATTCAACTGATGCACCGAGGTCGATCTCTTTTAGCAGCAACAGCTAATGAGGGACGCGAGGATCAACAGAGCACCGTTCAACTCCTGAGAGTCAACCAGCTGTTAAGGGACTGGAATAAAAACCTTCACAGATGTTTAATATTATTGTTATTGTTGATATTATAATAATTATTATCTTCTAAAGTATTTCAAGACTGTCTTTAATTGTTCAGCTACCTTGGATTAGGAATAATGTACTTTGTGGGCTAAATAATTTTGGTTTCCCAGAAGTTTACTTTCTCCCTCAAAAAAAATCCCTTCACTGCTGAGTCTACAGGCAAATTGTGGCTGTGCTACCATTTCCACACACACACTCAGGACACACATGCAGGTGTACTCACTGTCCACAGAGTCTTCCTGTTCTCTGCATTGGGCTGCCACGCATTGGGTGCGGTGTGGGCTCTTTACTGTGTAATTAAAGATGGCGTTCTCAGAGGTTTAAAATGAAGAGGACCAGAGGAAGGCAGTAGCATATATAATGAATATTACACTATTACAATTTAAATTTTGTAAATGTTGTACACCAGATTAATAGTTAGAAAGAGATCAGTGTTGAGCACCAAGGTAGTTTTTTAGAGTACATTTACTATCATTTATTAGCACTTGACAAAAACACTCCATGTTTTCTTTTCGCTCCTCCACAAATATTCTCCACACAGACCCATTCTCAAAGTCTTTGCTTGTTTTATTTTGATTGATGAATTTGAGGGTTGACTGGCTAGCTAGTGAGCCACAGTCGAATGTATGAATTATCATGACTACTTGATTACTGCACTTTTAGTTCATGCAGGGGACCAAAACCGTTACTACTTAATTTGGCATTCCCATTCAACACGATAAGATCGGCGTTTTCCTTCTACTCCAAAGGATCTAAACTAGCATAGCAATAATAGGATTAAGTTGGATCGAGCTTCGCTGTAGGTACTGTCTTCACTTATTTAATCAACATTTTTCAGTAGGATTTTCCTGACATGAAGGATGGATTTAATTTTTTTTTTAATGAACTGAAAATCTCAGGTTTAACACTCAGTAGTAATAACCACCATGGATGGAAGATTAGCTGTATAAGCTCAAATGGTTTGGCCAGATGCTCCGAACTTCTGCATTTTACTTCATGGTCCTCCAAATCTTATGGAAGTTTCACCATGATGGTCGAAGTCGTTTGTTTGGCCCTCCTTTACTGCAGCTGAACTTCTCACTGAGTTTGAGAATCAAGATCATAATTACTCATAATGCAAGGGGTTTTGTTCTTGGATGAAATCAGTCATTTTATTCTTAAGTTTTTTTGAGCAATGTAAAGTCCTTAAAATTTAAATCTGTGCGCTTATCAGAAAAGTCGTCCGTGCACTTCAGGGCACTCCAAATTTTCATGCCTCGTCTAAGGGTGACTTCAAAACTTCAGTCAAGGCGTTGGAATTTTTTAGTGTTTATTTAAACATTAGTTTGAGTTCAACTGCAGAAGGGCAATAAAACCGACATACATAGTTATTTTTATTTTTTCATAAGAACTGGTTCTCACCCTGGTGGTCAGTCCATGGGTGCCACTCCATTTTCAATCAGAAGTTATCCAGCAAGAATTGTAGTTGAATTGGGAATGCTGACACAATTCTGCGTTGTCACTTTACTTATTTTCTTTGTATAACGCCAAACTGGACATGTGCACCTCATTGTCCAAAGAAATCATTAAACATCCCTTTGCTACATGTCCTGGTCATCATTCCTGCTGTCTTTATTTATTGCACTCATTCATATACAGTGGTAATATTGGCTGATAAGTTATTACACTCAAGGGAAATATAAGCATTACAGTTGATCCTTGTTTTGCTTCTATTAAAAAAATGGCCTTTATTATAAACATAAACAGATTCATGACAGTAAATTTTCAGAATTCCTTTAAATGGGTCTTGCAAATGGTCCAAAGCTACTCGGTCTCTGCGTGACATTCAGGGTGTTCATTAATGTCCATAAGTAGTGCTTTATGATTTCAGAGCCAGATTCCTTTATCTGCCTGTGTAGTGAGAGCAAGACCTATCAGGGATCTTCAGTCAGTTTACCAGTACTTCCTGAGTTTTAAAGGGCTACAAAAAACCATTTGACTAGAAGGTGCTGTTTGTCAGTGTGCCATTCAGCCACCACATAGACAAGGCATTATTTTCCAGGCTTCCAATTCCTGATGAAGGTCTCTGACCAAAAGCTTGACCAATAAACTCCTACATCGCAGATTGAAGTATGCAGATTCTTATTTTGTTTATTATTTTCCAGGCTAAAAGTGGTTTCTTACAGAATTTTGAAAGACTGTTGCCATCAATTTTTTTTCTATGTATAAATTTGCTCCTTGTGGATACTTGATGGACATAAGTGCAGACAAACCTAATCTATTGTTACATCACCTGCCCTGATGGACCACACCGTCTCAGTTACATATCTGTCCTCTGACATCCAGCTCATAAAATAAGCAAAAACTGTCGTTTTTGTAGCATAGAGATATTTTACAGAAGAAGCACATTTCTTCCAGATGAAGGGTTGTTTAATGTTACGGTGTGTTAGACACTGTGAGACTAGTTTCTTTAAAGAAAACAAGAATTGTGATTACAATTATTTATGTGGCACATTTTCTGTATTTAATAATGTCAAATTAAAGGGGAATGCCACTCGGTTTTGGAATGCATAGTTTTATTCACTGTACAAATAATAGAGATGACCTCAATTCTATCAAATGTTATTGAATTTGGGTCAGATGATGTTTAGCCTGTTCTTCTCATCCTAAAGTCATTTGTGTTGAGTGGTTCTTGTTTCTTTATGTTTTTCCAATGCTAAAAAATAAAATCTAAGCCAGTAACCATTTCTTTTGCAGAAGTTTAGCATGTGAGAGGATTAGTAGTCAAAGATGACAATGGTCAGAGAAATCCAACTGTTGGTGTGCACTTATCTTGATTTGGTTTGAAGTGATAATCAGTTTTGGGTAAAGGTTGGCTTCAACCTTGACAACGCTGCAAACAACAAAACAAGGTCCTCCTGACATGATTTTGTATTTTTGGGTAAATGGATCTCCTAAAGTTTTGGAATTTATCAACTAGATTTTTAGCACTAATGTCTGAAATCAAGCAAATAAGTCACTTTTTGTACTGTCTGAAGAATAAGCTAAACCAGTCATTTAGCTCAATTCTGTTTTGGCTGAAAGTACCACACACACTCACTTGCCACTTTATTGTGTACACCTGTCCAACTGCTTGTTAACACTAATTACTAATCAGCCAATCATGTGGTGGCAACTCAATTGCATTAAGCATGTTGACATGGTCAAGACATTCACTGCAGTTCCAGCTGAGCTTCAGAATGAGGAGGAATGCAACTTTGAATGTGGCATGTTTATGTTTATGTATTTAGCAGACACTTTTGTCCAAAGCGACTTACAAGTGATAATCAGCATATTGCCCTTGAGGCTAACAACAACAATAACAGCAACAACATTGACATCAGTCATGGAGAGTAGGGAACAAGGAGTGGACAGTAGAGAGGGGGGACGGGTGCAGGCAAGGTGCTAGTTAAGAAGATGCTCTCTGAAGAGCAGGGTCTTCAGGAGTTTCTTGAAAATTGAAAAGGAAGCCGCAGTTCTGGTAGTGCTTGGAAGGTCAATCCACATTTGTGGAACAATGCATGAGAAAAGTCTGGATTGTCCTGAGCGTGGTGTAGGCACTGCTAGCCGACGATCCTGTGATGACCGGAGCGGCCGAGCCGAGACGTAAGCCTTTGCAAGAGGATTCAGGTAGATGGGAGCTGTACCATCCAGGACTTTGTATGCTAGTGTTAGCAATTTGAATTTGATGCGTGCTGCTAACGGTAGCAATGGAGCTCAATGAACAGAGGGGTGACGTGTGCTCTTTTTGGCTGATTGAAGACCAGACGCGCTGCTGTGTTCTGGACCATTTGAAGAGGCCTCACAGTACAGCCTGGAAGACCAGTTAGAAGGGCATTGCAGTAATCGAGGCGGGAGATGACAGTAGATTGCACCAGAAGCTTGGTGGCATGTTGTGTTAGGTATGATCTGATCTTTTGTACGTTATACAGTGCAAAGCGGCATGAACGAGCAACAGAGGCAACATGGTCTTTAAAGGTCAGTTGTTCATCAATCGCAACACCTAGATTTCGAACTACCTTTGAAGGAGCCAGAGATAGGAAGTCCTTTTGGACTGAGATATTGTGCTGTTTGGATGGTTCTGCTGGGATGACAAGTAGTTCAGTTTTAGAGAGGTTGAGTTGGAGATGGTGGGATTTCATCCATTTTGATATGTCAGAGAGACAGTTTGATATTCGTGCAGAGACAGTGTGGTCGTCCGTTGGAAATGACAGATAGACCTGGGTGTCGTCTGCACAGCAGTGGTAGGAGAAGCCATGTGATCGAATGATCTCACCCAGTGAGGTGGTATAAATCGCAAAGAGAAGAGGTCCTAGTACTGAGCCCTGGGGGACTCCTGTGGCAAGATGGTGCACGCATTGTCCAAGCCAAGATACACTGAATGATCGTCCTGTGAGGTACGGTTCAAACCAGGTGTGTGCTTTCTCTGTGATGCCCATGGTAGAGAGTGCGGACAAAAGGAAGCCATGGTTGACAGTGTCAAATGCTGCCGATAAGTCGAGCAGGATAAGCACTGAGGATTTGCCTGTCGCTCTAGCTTCTTTTAAGGATTAAGTCACTGCTAACAGAGCAGTTTCAGTGGAGTGGCCCTTTTGAACCCAGATTGGTAAGGGTCAAGCAGACAGTTTTGTGAGAGGTATTCTGTGATCTGCTTGAAAGCCACCCTTTCAATGATTTTGGACAGAAAAGGCAGGAGAGTAGGTCGGTAGTTCTCCACATGATTTGGAGGAAGAGATGTGTTTTTTTAGCAGTGGTTTAACCTGAACATGCTTGAGAGAGATTGTTGGCATGGTTGTTGGTGCCAGATGGGCTGGTCTGAGTAATTCAGAAGCTGCTGATCTTCTGTGATTGTCACACACAACCATAGGTTTACAGAGAATGGTACGAAAAAGGGAAAACATCTAGTTCTGTGGGCGAAAATGCCTTGTTGATGCCAGACGTCAGAGGAGAATGGCCAGACTGGTTCGAGCTGATAGAAAGGCAGCAGTAACTCGAATAACCACTGGTTACAACCAAAGTATGCAGGAGAGCATCTCTGAACGCACAACATATCGAACTTTGGGGCAGATGGTCAACAGCAGCAGAAGACCACACCAGGTGTCACTCCTGTCAGCAAAGAACAGGAAACTGAGGTTACAATTCACACAGGCTCACCAACATTGGATAATAGAAGATCGTCCGATGAGTCTCTATTTCTGCTGCGTCATTCAATCAATCAAATTTTATTTATGAAGTGTGTTTCATATGAGTGCAATTCAAAGCGCTATACAATATTAACCCTCTCAGGCTCAAAATAAGTTTTGATAAAAGGACGAACAACTAAGTCCTTCAGGGGTAATTCTGAGTTAAAAATGCTCATGAAATACGTATGTGGAGTAACCGGGTAGGTAGGTTTTAACTGTTGCAAATCTGCAACGCCTGCCTCCAGAGGGTTAAAAAACAGGCAACTTCCCACCTCTCCCCCACAGATCTACTTTCAAGATCCCTTCTATATCTCCCTCCTCCTACCTTAAATCCCATCCCATGAAAATACACTCACACACAAGTGAAAGGTCAACTGGCTGAGTACAGATGCATTAGGGATCAAAAGGAGCCACCTGCACCAGGAGCAACTCATGGCACCAAGAGGAGGCACACAGCCAACCGCCTCTCCTGGGGCAGTTGGCCCTCACAGAGGATGGAAACACTGGTAAAACCTAAAGAGATAAAGATAGGAAGTTAAAAAAGAAATTAAGCATAAACACCAACTAAATAAAAGTCTAAATAAAACACACTGACAAAAGATAACCAAATAGAAACATACAATTTAATAAATAAAAATGATATAATAGAAGTAATTAATACAGGTTAAAACTAGTTAGAGTATATGAGAAAATATATGTCATTTAAGTAAAAGAGGAAGTAATAAAACACTGATAAAAAACGTGAAAGATGGTTAAACAAGCTAACATAAAAAAAATCTACAGGTGATGAAAGCGTGCATCAGCGTCACCGTATCGGCCGAGAGAGGTGATAAAAACTCTTTTTTTTCTGAAATACTACAAGCTTGAATGCAAGCTATAGTTGTTGACCTTATTTTTAAGACCATTTCATTTTGATCCTTTTGCGTTCCTTCTGTCAGTCTTTGGGGTAATTTTGTATCAATGATTATCAGACGCCCTGTATTGAATGTAAAGTCAAACGTTGTATAAATGGAAATAAACAATTCTCCAGCAATTTGATTTTTTTCCCCTTCCTTTCTTTAGCCAACTTGACATGGAGCCACAGTTAACTAGTTTGGGGCACATTTTTACTTGAAAAATAGTATTTAAACTGATCAAGCTTTGGCTTTACAACGACACTGTGTAGGTTACTATCTATACATTACTTTACTCTATTTAAAAGTAACAAGACAAAAGTACTTCAGCACGTAAAATTAAGATTGTCACTTGCCAAATAGTGACTATACCCTCCTGTTTACCTATAAGACACACCTCAAAATATCATTAAATTCTCTATTGATGATTTAATTGTAGACAACAAAATTGGCATTTTACTTGCCAAAAAGTGATTGAATTGCTAAGTTTT